CTTCTTCTTCTTCTTCTTCTTCTTCTTCTGTTCCCATAATTACTTGCTTTTGTATTTCAATAGAGTTTCGCCTCGATGATGGTGGAATTGCGCTTTTGTCCCTACCCATGCCACCACTCTCCTCGTTATAGCGGATGGGAGAGGGGTTGCACGGTCATGTGCGAATTGCGTCAGGTGAACTGTCTTCGACGGAGAAGCATGCAAAACGCTTGGAATGGTCACTGGCAGTACCAGAGACGTCTTTGAAGCGTTTCGGCTGTTCGCATATATTATACGAGGAGATGTCGTGCCACAGGACATTGCCTTCATGACCGCACGACCGTCATCATGGTTAGCCATGTGAGCTGGTTGACAGCACATGAGTGAGCACAGAGCAGCCGTGGTGTTGTGCATTCACCACCTACCACTAAATGACGCATCGTCATAGTTATAAGTCTTGTTTGTTTGCGAGATCGGAAGCGTCGCCTCAACTTAAATGCATCTTGCGTGTGTTCCGATAGTACTATTCGTTGGATTTTCTTGTCCAGGAAGCCCAAGTAAATGGAGCAGCTGCTCCATCCATGGCCAAAACTTGTCAGTTTGGGCAACATTCGCCTACACGGATTCAGTGGCATTCTATGGACACATGCAGCCTACCCTCTTCAACTAAAGAATGATGAGAGTTCGACAAGAGAGGCTCATCATGGGGACACATCCTGCTGCAGGGTCTTCTGAACGGTCCCGATCCACATTAGCAGAACGGCAGGTAGTGTGTCTGCTCCTTCGTAAGTCAATTACTAGAAGTTTGCCAACATATCCGTGGAAGTGTGTAATAGGTTTGGCTTTTATCTCTCCCACCTTGGCCTCCACTCTCTCGAAACGAGTAGAGTGAGAGCAGGTGGGGCATTCCTCACTTGTGATAAGATGAACGGGTTAGAGTGGTGAGAAGTGAACCAATACAGAGAGCACACTTCTTCCTCAATGGTGGATGACGATGCTTCTCCAACGAGATCCGTGTTTCCTGATCGCTTCTCGCCCAACTGCGAGGGCTATTCAATCCAGTATATATTGCAAATGTGCCGGTGTAGGGAAGTAGCTGGAGATCTAACCCCATCTCTGGATGATACGGTTTTTAATGTGGTCGAACTAGTCTGCAGTACTGTGCGTGTCTCTGCGCCTCTGCCTCCTCGCAACAGTGCCAAGCACAGCAACAATGGCAATGACGTCTCTTTGATGTTGCTCCCACCAGTGATGTGACCGTTAGCCTGTGTTCCTCAACCGATACTCCTTGATCCACTTCACAGTCTACATGGTCGTGGTAATGACGTTCCTCCTCGCGACTATCGCATTCAAGGGCCCCAATGATGCCCGAATTGGCGTTGCCTGCTTCTCTTTTCCCCCGCCTCTCTGCTCAGTGCTACACATTCCTCAAGGATCTCAAATATCACTTGTTTAAATTTTGTCCTGATTGTGGCAGAGATTGCCCGAACACAAATGCAGCGTTGGACAGACACCGCAGACGGTACTGCCCATTCGAAAATCGAGTGCATCGACGTGAGCAAGAGGCAGTTGAGGTGATTTTGGCATTGACGGTGGAGAGAAATTTCAACGTGCAGCACTTGCTCAGAAGTGACAAGATCGACTACACGAGGAGATGGCTTCTTGATGTGTGCATCGTACTTATAAATTAGGGGCTGACCTTGACTGTCGCTCGCGATGAGATAGGTCGAATTGTCTACTCAGCGCCCTTGTCCTCCCCTTCCTGTTTCTTTTCCTCCATCCGCTTCTCCTACACAGACACGATGCCTATCAGCAACGACGAAAAAAGACTTCAATATCAAGGTTTGGTAGCCCTTTAGCAGGTCCCAAATAGAGTGAGCCCTCAGAAAAATTCTGTTTTCGCCCATTTCTCTACATCCATTCGGCCAACCATTTAGCTTTCCGCGTCGATACGTCCCATTCTTGCATGAGTGATGTTGTCGAGGTGCCTCTTCTGATCAAGCAAGTTCCTGTAATTTGGCAACAATCACGGCAAAATTGAAACACGTGAGGATTGAGATCCTTGTGGTTCGTGGACCAATGAGATGCGAATTGATGGAGGAGCACAAGTCTGCTGTCTCCTGTCAGTGCCTCCTCGGGTGTCAATGAGGGGCATTCAGGCGGCTCTGGTGACTTTGAAATACGCAACAGTAGCCTCGATACGCCATACACGTTTGTTCAGAGTCCTGTGTTGTGTCTGTGTGTCTGTTTTAACAGCACTCGAATAGAGGCCTTTAACAAACCAATTGAAAAGCTTATTCCGAACAACATTTGACGCACCTCTCTGGTTGATGCTGGGGTAGCAGGTGGGGAGCGGACTGGGTGATATTTGAGTTGACTGGGATGCGAGCTATCCAGCTGGTTAGTTGGCTCGTTAACAAGTGGACAGGCAGGACGACTGGTTGCTATGCATTCCATGATTAGTTGGCCAAGTCGCCTATTGTCTGTGGAGTATGACTGCTTCCCAGGTCACTGCATTCGCCAACCATACTGGCTACGTTACTGGATGGTGTGATTTGGAGGGTAGCCAGTCGTTAAGTAGATGGTAAGTCAGCGAATTTAACAGTAAGCGAGACGATTAGTGCGTGGGAGAGATGAGCTGTCTACGCATGAATCAACCACTTGGCACGTTGGTTCATGCAAAGCTTGTCTTGCTGCAATAAACAACATAACATGCTGCGAAGTTCTTCTTGTTTAGGCTGCTGATATTGCAAGGTGACAGGTAGGGCTACTCAATATGGATGGATTTTGGATTAAGCACACTGCCGAAATTATTTGCCTCCTACTTATCAGTAATCAGTAGAAATAGTACCTAGGGGGTCAAAAGTCACTTCTGCCTATCGAGCGCTCGAGTGATTGGACGTTGTCAGTCACGCAAATTTCAAATCCTCTTCGATCTGACGATCGATGAGCCAGGCACACCGCAATTTCGACATTCCGAAGACGTGGTGATGATGATTTCGGATAGCGAATTCGGCTACGTGACGTTCTTCTGCGCCTACCTGTGCGTCGCCTTGTTGAACTACTTCAATGTAGTCAAATTGGCAACATGGTGCGTCCTCTGGGTGTCGAATTGATTCATTGAGGCCACTGTCAATTGTAAGTGTTTGTCAATGAACTGCCTCCTCCTCCTC